AGCACAGTGTTGCTTAGATTTCTGCTTCTAGATTGGCCGCAAAATGTTTGGGAAAGCAAACCCATTTACAGTCGTAGTGCTTCTGTGTTGCACGGTGCAAACGAGTACCTGTGACTTCTGTCTATCCTTAAATTCACTTTTTAATGAGCTCTGTTCACAGGATACCTCAGCAAGTGCCTGAGGAACAAATTCTCAACACAGAGTGTCTTGGGGCAGTACAGGCTCACATCATTCTTTCTCCACCTTCCTAGTCACAGGCATTTGTTCCCCAGTGCTGAAATTATGGAGAAGAGAAGAAGATGGGCAAAATTTTGGAAACTAGCAATCAAATGCAACTTTCTGACAGATTCGTAAAGAACTCCGTAATTCCTACTTAGGGTGATGAAATGACATACGCTTCTACTTCGTTTCCTGTATGATATGTCCTTTAAGTTTCTGAATTGCATCACAGCTTTTCTTGATTTTTTTTTTTTTCTTGATTTAGCTGCTGGAAAAGCTTTTGCACAGTACAGGCAATTTGAGAAACTAAAAATCACGTAATACGGTGCTCCAGGCTTCTGCAGACTAGTTCAGAAACTAAAAATGTCACAAAACCGACAATCAAGACAGAGGCAGAGAAATATTTCAGCAAAACACAGCTCATGCTAAAACTCCTGGCACGGCTCAGACATGTGTGCTGACTCAAAGCTAGCAAGTGACTTGTGAGTTATATAAGCAAAATACAGGAATTCATTTCTAGGGGAGGGAAAACAAAGATCTAGGCTGAACGTACCTAGAATATGGTGTTTAAAAAAAAAAAAAAAAAAAAGTGGATACCTTACTCTTGGGGCCTCTTAACTTCCCTGTTGAATAAGGGAATGTTTCCAGAAAAACACAGTACATAAGGATTATTCTGGAAGTAATACTCAGAACAAGATTCACAGATTCACAGATTCACAGAATATTTAAGGTTGGAAGGGACCTCTACAGATCATCTAGTCCAACCTTCCTGCTCAAGCAGGCACACCTACCGCATGTGGCACAGGGTGGCATCCAGGCGGGTTTGGAAGACCTCCAGAGCAGGAGACTCCACAGCCTCCCTGGGCAGCCTGTTCCACTGCTCTGTCACCCTCACAGTAAAGAAGTTGCTCCTCACATGGAGACGGAACTTCTTATGCTTCAGCTTGTGGCCATTACCCCTCGTCCTATCGCTGGCCACCAGTGAGAACAGCCTGTCCCCTTCCTCCCTGCATTCTCCCTTCCTGAACTTATACATGTTAATCAGATCCCCTCTGAGCCGTCTCTTCTCCAGAAAAAACAGGCCCAGCTCACTCAGCCTCTCTTCGTACGAGAGATGTTCCATTCCCTGCATGAAAAACTACACAGGAAACCCTAATTCTCTCTCTGCCATTTATTCTGAAACCTCAATTTCTTTTAACAATTGAGTATATAACAAAGTCTACACAATCTAGATGCCTGCTGGATCCAAAAGACCTAATAACTTCTGGAGAACACAGGCCAACTACTACTACTTGCCCTCAGAAGGTGCTCACATTGTTATTCAGAGACTGAAAAGAGAATGGGTATTAAAGAATAGTTTCTATTCAGGCTACTTTAAATATATTTGAAAATATATTTGCATTTAGAAGCACACAGATAAAGGAATAAATACACACATGCGTGCAGCTCCCCCACCATGTACAACCTTTCTTAGTTTTCAGGTATACCCTAAAGCAGACATGTAGGAGCTTTGAACTTCACTGGCAAAAAGTGTCTGACCATAATTAGTTTAGACTAAAGACAGACTTAACTGAATGTGCTCTGAGAATTTTCATGCTTAATTCAGTTGCATCTAACACATAATCAGCTTGCAAATCTACCGGCAGATCCAGTCTCAGATCACGTAGACTGAGATTTGCACATGACACAAACCAGTGCATACTGCTTAGTCCTACCGTCTGGAAAAAAGAGTTTTACACTGAAAATCTTAAGAACAGAAAAGGCAGAATCTGCTTTAGCCAGTTTACCTACTTAGCTGATCACACATTGGAAACAAACTTTTGTGCCTGACGAAAGGCAAAACAAAGCTTGACTGACGATTGCATATCAGTTGTTTCATTCATCACAGGAACACATACAAGCTCTCAAACTACATGGAAATCATAGGATCAACTATCTGGCGTGAGAAAAGAATAAAACGTGGTCTCTAAAGCTCTTGATGTGATTAAATTCTCCTGAATCACTTCTATTGTCAAGCCAAGATAAAAACATTTCTCCTGACAGTAAGAACCTAACAACTCAAAACACTCAGTACTGACCAAATGTGGCTGTGAGAAAAAGAAAATCTGGCTTTAGGTTTTCTAAGATCACATTAAGCGTAGTAAGACCTGGCAACACTGAAACCCATTTCTTTACACCAAGAAGGCCACTTTCGTATTTTCAAATAATTATAAAATAATTCTACCAGGAAAAATTTCTCCATGGAAAGAGTGGGGAAGCATCAGAACAGGCTGTGCAGGGAAGAGGTGGAGTCACCGTCCCTGGCAGCGCTCAAGAAACATGAGATGAGGGACGTGGTTTAGCAGGCCTGGCAGGGAGGGGTTTATGGTGGGACTCAATGATGACCGAAAGATTATGTACAGATCTATGAATCTATACAGCATAGAGCCTAGGGAATTGCAATAATTAGTGATATACCTTACAATTAAAAGCTTAAGAGAGATATTACTGCTTTTCCTTTTTCCTGAAGACGGTGCATTTCAGACCCTCATTATTCCTGCTCCCCTTTTTTGTTCTTTTACATAGGCACAATTCTACACACAAACTATTCTGTAAGAACATTCAGAAAAGACCATTTCAGTGTTGCTACTTTCTGAAGCTCTCTGTTGGATGCAGCAAGGCCTTGAAAGAACAAAGAGAAAGGTTGAATCATATTTCATCAAGCTGGCATACTAAAAGGAAAATGTAGTGAAAGAAAACTGTTTCTGAGATTCATGTTGTGAAGAATATTGGCCTGGAGTTTTCCAACCTCCTGCTCCAAGATTTTCTGCTTTAGTAACAGTAAGATGCCAGCTACAAGCAGTAGGTGCTGAATGCAGTACCATGGTAAGTGAAGATGAAGCAAAGGTACAGTTGCTCAATAAATGACTGTTTTCACAGACAACTGAAGAAAATTAAAGCAAGTAGAAAGCATCTTGAGCAAGTTTTTCATGTTTTGGTTCTGGCACAGGAAGCAAGGCCAAGACCATATGGGAGCAGGCCATATAGGCTGCAGACACAGCGTTCCCGAGGCTCTAGCAGATCTTGTCCTTAAGGAAGTTGGGTGAAGTCTCTGGCATCAGACTATAGCAGACTGAAGCAGTCCTAATTTAACTCCTTTCGTCTGCTTGGATAATTTGGAAATTGGTCAGTTAGACAATTAATTCCTTTTAAAACAACATCCACAGTGACATCTACAGTTGGGATACTGCAATTAGCTTAATGCTCTACACCCAAACCTAGGGGTACACTACTTCTACACAGCTTTTGCCAAGAATAAACAACACCTGGTGTGTATTTACGTGTCTCTATATCTACCAAGTCACATTCACTTCAGACAGGAAGATTAAAAATTCATAACTCACTGTTATTAAACAGGTTTATTTCCAAAAATAATGTTTTTAATTTAAAAAAAAAAAAAAAAAAGGAAAAAAGCATTGTTTTAGGAGTTTAAGTCCAGAGAGGCTGCAAAACAAATTCCTGTTCTACTGAATGAGGCCACTGGCTCTGAATTTTATTTATTTTTGTTGAAGAATATAGTCCAACAAAAACTGATGTAACTTTCAGGATACCAAAGCAATGTAAAGGTTTTTGTTCAGCTTAAAATTCTCACGGAGTATCATACGTACCCTGAGTAAACTAGAATATAGAACCTTCAAGACAAAACAGTAAGTGACTAAGATGACACCTTCAGAAGCTCTTGCTGTATCAAACTTTAAGATATCAAACAAACATAAAACAAAACTCTACTATGTAGAATAATTTTCTTTGTCTGGAGGAAAATGAGAAAAAAAAGGAAAGAAAAAATGAATTGGCAGAAGGCCTACAGTGCCTGCATACCACCTGAGAGCAAACAACTGCTTAAAGGTAAACCATGAGCTTGATGCCCACGCGGACCACTTGGGGGGTGCACGGAGCTGCCCCTCTCCCTCTCCATCATCTCTGCTCACCGGAATTTGGGCCGGCTCCCTCAGGCCTTGTTAGCTGTTTCATTAATTGCTATACAGTACCTGACTCAATCTGGATAGAAACAAAGAAACAAAGTCTTAGGGTAACCAAGACGGAACAGCCATCCTGGTGAATGAAATTACAAGGAACGTGTACTCAAATTAAGGAGAGTCAAATCCAAGTGCCTAGATTAAAACTCTCAATTATTTAATGTGACAGTACTTTAGGATAAGCTAATACCATAAATATACATATATTTAAAAAAATGCAAAATTAAAGATTATGTGTACATAGGTTTCATAAAAACTGAACTTCTCCTCCCAAATTCAATTGTGTTAGTTTGGAACTGTATTAGACAAGTTTTCATTGTAACAAATGTTTGGAAACTGTTGGCAAAAGTAGGTAATACCATGAACATTGTAGCACTTAAGCATTAATAAATCTCAGGATTTAGTGTGGCTGAATTTAGTCATTACGCAGTCAAAATGATGGATCATTAATCTACCAATACCAGTTTAATTTATGTAGTCAAATTATACCAGTGGAAAAAAAGAAAATGTAAGTAGATACCATACAAACAATCAAAACTTAGAAAACAAATTGACTTTCCAAGTAAGCTACAGTCAAATGCATACATACTTCCTGAACGTTGCATCTTGCCAGTATTAGCCATGGACAACATTAAGACACATTTAGGAGCAAGCACACACACTAGAATACTCATAAACACTAATTCTCATGTCCCTCTACATTACAAAAGTTACCAAAATTTGGGTAGTTTGTATTATTGTGGTGAAGGAAAAAAAGGGCCTTACCTTCACATCCCTGTGAATTATGTTATTATCATGACAGTAGCGCAGAGCTTCCAATATCTGTCTCATGTAATGACTGTGAAAACCAAACACATCACACATGACAAACCTGCAGGAAAAGTTACTATACGCATGCTACAAATCAATTAAGAGTCTAACTGTATAACCGACCAGCTTCCTGTTAACGTAGGAGCACAGGGGCCATGTTTATAACAATGAATAATAAAAAAAAAAAAAAAAAAAAGGAAGAAGTTCTAGGATTATTCTGACTGAAGCTGAGGAAAAATAAGGGAAGAAAAATCTCCATTTTCTGTTATGTAACAGTTTGAAATATTCAGCAATTTTGTTCACATGACAAAGAACCAAGGAACTTTTTTTTTTTTTTAATAATGAGGCATAGATAGGAAAAAAAATGACCATGAGTGCTGAATAGAAGCAAAGAATCAAACTTTGACTTGCCTGAGGCAGATGAAAGACAACTTATTTGTCCCCCTATTTTGAAAGGAGCCCCCCACAGACAAGTGACTATATTAGGATCATTTCTCTACCCGCCTTGTTGGCACTCTTTTGCCATGCACAGTAAATTGCCATTGGGCCACTAATGCATGTCCACAAGAAAGTATTCTGGTAAATTTTGCACTAAAAAGTTATAAACAATCTTGACTTTTATTTTGAATGACACAGCAGATTTTTAAATGGAAAATTCACACACAAATCTACTATAAAACAAAAGTGTTTGTTAGAAAAGATAAGGTCTTGAAAATTCTTTTTTTATTAAACCATGAAAATCACTTATTTCCAATATACGGAAAGACGACAAAACTGTTGTTGTTATTGAATGACAGATGGAAAATCTGTAAATGAAGAAGGAATGACACAAAAACCTATACGATAATGGAAAAACTGATAACGAAAGTAAAAAGGATAATAGCTTCCATTACAACAATTTTATTATAAAACTATATTGTGAAGGCAGAGTTTCCTGGGGAAAATCACTGAGGACGGAAGTGTTCTCTGGAGATTATTTAGTCCAAAGTCCTTGCTCAAAATCAAAGTCGGCTAGACCAGCCTGCCCAGGACCATGTCCCCTTGTGCTCTGTCTCCAAGGGTGAAGACTCCAACCTCTTTGAGCAAATTTCTGCGGTGTTCAATCAGCTTCCCCTGCCTCCTCAAGAGCATAAACAGAATTTCGTAGCATTCTCATTCCTGACATTATATTTTCTTCACCAGCAAAATTAATGACACTATCTTCTATAAGAATATCATAGAATATAACTAGAGGAATAAACTGATTTTTCATACATCCAGGAGGCACTCAAATGTTAGTGGTATGTAAAGTAGAAACCTCCATTTTCAGTGAAAAGAGGGCGAGTGTTTTCTCAAAGTATTAATTTTATCCCATCATATACAAATTCTGTCAAAGGATTTTCTTTGCTATGAAGTCTCCCATCTGCTTCCTTCAATGTAATTTCCACTCCTTCTAGAATGATGCTGCTTCCAAGCTCCCTCATCAAAAGGCACAAGTACTTATTTTCCCCGCCATGGATGCACGGAATCTCAGCTAACGTACTATCAGATGATAAAAAAAATCCATCTGACTGAAAGGAAACAACCACCAAGTCTGAGTTCTAGTGATACTTAAGAGAACTAAGCACTTCAAAAAGAAATCACATAATGGGTTTTCATTGTCTTTTTTTAAATATAGATTTTACGTCCATTTGGACGTTAGTACACCTACCAAGCAGAAAGTTGAAGCAGCCACATGGGAAAAAGTTGCTTAAAAACAAAGTAAATCCTCCCTCTCTTCACACTCCTCCTCTCCCCTCCCCAAACAAGAAAATGCAAAATAACAAAACACAACACTCTCAACCTAGCAAGACCAATAAAATCCACTCTTATCAGGTTAAGCCATATGAGAGATCCATTAAATGGCAAATACAGAAAATTAAATGCTGAATGTGAAATAGTATTTTCTTCAATACATCCATCCAAATACACACCTAATAAATAAAACAATTCTCTAGAATTCTAATTACACTAATTACTGTCACAATCGGATCAGGGAAAGGGTATTATGTACCCTGTTCCTCCTACTTCTAGCTACCAGACTGTGTAACAATATATTCCTTTCTCTTCTATTCTTCCTGTAGGATTAGTTAAAATTATGATACATACCTGGCTACAGCCTCACTGTACACAAATCCAGCATCTGCTCTCTTCACAATTTCAAAACACAGATCTGCTCCATCCATACTGTAAAACAGAAAGTTGGAAAAAAGCGTTTAAGACAGAGAGCTAAAATCACTGCGTAAAGTATCTCCAAAAATGTCACTATGTTGCTATTTCATTTATAAATCTCAAATCTTACATAAAATACTCTGGAAGAACTGGAAGAATGTATAACAGAGAATAACTGTTGCAGTTATACAAAAATCCAAATCAAACTGCACTTTAAATTGTGACTCCCTACCCTTCCCCCGCTTCTCGGGAAAGGGAAAAGGGAAAAGGGAAAAGGGAAAAGGGAAAAGGGAAAAGGGAAAAGGGAAAAGGGAAAAGGGAAAAGAGAAAAGGGAAAAGAGAAAAGGGAAAAGGGAAAAGAGAAAAGAGAAAAGGGAAAAGAGAAAAGGGAAAAGAGAAAAGGGAAAAGAGAAAAGGGAAAAGAGAAAAGGGAAAAGAAAGAAAATCTTTAAAGGGTGAGAGGTCAAGAAGATGTTTATACCTCAGAGCCTTCCTGAAGGCACCTGGAAACTGTGGCAGCAAAGATACTACATCACTAATCGGTACCTCATTCCTTTTCTCCCTAAATGCCTGTACTCTCCTGATAACTTCTAATAAATGTGGATAGTATAACACTGAAGAGTCAGGTATATTAGTTTTAAAGTCTCTAGGCTACAATTAGGCTACCACTTGTCTACTGGAGAAGCTTGATGTAGTTTAACCATCCTCCTTTCCTCTGTAGGCAGCTTCAGGTAGATTTATATCCAAAAAGGCTCATTGCTTGATGGGACAAGGAGAGAGTTAAAATCACACTCCATCATTGAAACTTAACACGCGCTTGCAAGAACATTAATTATAACCTCTGTCAGCTTCAGTCCCAACATCTTTTCTTTCTCCTCTCTACTGAAGAAGACTCAAGGAGTAAAAAAGCAGACTTTGCAGGACATGTAGAAAGGCAACATGGTCAGGAACATCAAGAAGTAGGTTGCGGAGTACAGGAACCCTCAGATGTTCTCTAAGTAATTACTACCAGTTCATCTCATTGCTACCTTTCTGCATAGATATTGTTACTAGAATCCACCTGAGTTATTTCTCTCAAAAGAAATCAAGACACTGTTTCAAAGCCAGCAGTCTTTTATATGATGTGCAGAAGTTCTAATTTCCACAGATTTTCCCCATAGAAAACAAACCAGGTAGATCCGTGATGATAAAAAGACTACTGACCAAAGGAAATGCACATCCATTTAAGCAGGGGCCAGACTTTCCCAGGCCAGTTATTTGAGCACCTGGTATTGGGATATCAACTCCTACAAACTGTGAATCTCTGTTATAAAATAGTGGCAGGCCTTCATCACATCAGTACATTCTTCCGTAGCCTTTTCCAGTATTTTTTCCATCCTGGTCAATTTCTCACACACACCTAAACATCACATGGACAGCAGTGTGCTATGCTATGCATTGCACTCTACAGCAGCGAAAGAAGCAGGGACAACATTGAACTTGGCTGAAGAACCTTATGGAACTTTTTTATTCTAATTGAGGCTGCAAGAACAAGAGTCAGTCTCATTAAAACCAAAGCAGACCAAAAAACCCTGGAATACTCAAGTGTATTTACAGACTAAAAATTCAGTAATATCAGGATCACATAAGACTTCTATAGCAACTGAAAAGGTTGGGGTAATGTAAGTCTTGAGGTACTGATGAACGCAAATTCAAGACGACTGGTGCAAACCATAGGGTTATCAGCACTAGGCATGCAAAAACTGTAAAACATTTAAAACTGAGCTAAGTTAAAAATTCATTAAAATAAGCAGACTAACACATATATGCACACACAAATACACATGTAGTGTAGCCGAATGCTAAGGATGCCACAATCAAGTTGGAGAAGTGATTTAATTCCTGCAGCCAATCTCAGCCTCTATGCCAGCAGACACCAGCAGAGGGCACTCCTGGAAGTGTCATGAGCTAAGATTCATGCCCAGGGTGCCATCCAAGGCAGCTCTGAAGAGCAAAAAGACTTCTCCACAGAACAAAGCCACATTTGAATTATTTTGAGTGCCAACTACATTCCTGGATTTTCCATATGCTATTATTCATCTTCCCACATTTTTCGCAAGAGAACTGGGGCTAGGTCGGGATGCAAGCTTTGATAGCTCTGGTCAGTACTGTTGTGAACCAGGACCACTTCTCTGCTGTTCTGCACAAACCTGATGAAAATGCAGAGCAGCCCAGCAGCTTTCCTCGGAGTGCTGTAGTTTTCTCCAAAAATTAAAATCAAAATGTACAGAACTTTCTTTTCCTACATGTCGTCCATGAATCCACTGTTTAGCTCATTCCAGGTAATTGTGAGATGCTTCTGAGTTTCTCTCCTGTCAGTTGCTACTTGGAAGATCTCCTTTCCACACTTGAAACTGAGACATTTTTAGAATTTTGTTGGCATTTAAGAGATGAATTTTGGTGCTCTTCACAAACTACATCACTCCATTTAGAGTTATAAGTAATAAACAACCTCTCTAAATAATACATGATCACTGAATAATTCATAAATTACAGTTTAGAAGATGAGCTTAGGAGAACAGTAATTTTGAGTAGATATGCTTAGAAAAAAATCTACTACTGATTTCATAACAATGATTATGTTAAATTATTAAACAATTAAAAAGTTATTAAACAGTTAAAAAGTAAAACAAAACCAACCTTAAGAATACTGCTTTCATGGTAATATAAAAGAACTACGGTACCTATCTGAAATCTTTAACACAGACTCTGATCTAACATGAAATCTTAGAAATCTCCACATGTCAGTCAGTATCATGAGGTTATACAAATATACTCACTTTACAATTATTTGTGAATTTCTTCCTGTCTATATGAATTCTCAAAAATACAAATATAGGAATTATCATACTCTATTTATTATACTTGTTCCTATACATAAATTTTACTTATAATTTTTCTGAACTTTTGCTAAGGAAAAAAAAAGAAACTTTAAAATTAAGAAAATAAATCACCATCTTGTAGTGAGGAGAGTTATAATTAATGCTCAAATTTCAATCCATCAGTGTCTTGATGCACTGAATTCTCAGTTTCTCTGCTAAATTTTGCTGCTTACTAGAATGTAGGCAAGATGTTATCCAAGGTAAAAAGCCTGTGACTTGCAAGCCTTACACAGCTTTGTCAACAAGAAAACACCCAAAGACCATTCTTTGAGCATCAAAACTAATGGCTTTTGGTCTCCTGTAAATTCCTATCCACCAGATGGATGAAATCAACAGTTATTAGAACAACCTTGAGATGAAAACTCTTTTTCCACAAATCAGACTACAATGCACTGGGTATGAGTGCATTGAAAATCAAACAAAAAAAAATCACCTCACATGCATTTACTCATGTAAATCTGAGTTCTGTTATGTCAAAAGTATCTGTTATGTCAAAGCGTTTGATACTCTGAGTACGTAGGAGTTTGATGAATTTGTCTGTCCTAAGGCATTTAAAAATAGCCATTTCAGGCTTTCAGTCCATAGGGGGGGAAAAAAAAGCACCCAGAGCTGCTTTAGATAGCAGATGTCACAGTACTGTGTGTGCTGTATGGAGCAGTCCTTTTTTTCTCCAGTTCTTCTTAACACTTGAACAAAGTTGAATGACTGAATGCACTGATGGTCATTTAAACATTCATTACTTTATATCCATAATTAACTCAGTAACTGCCACAATTTTAAATTACTGCTTTTATGATGCTGAGATTATGTAACTAGAAGATTTTTACATTTGCTAAATAGATTAAATGACAAAAGTGTATACGTACAACTATGTAACTACATATATGGTCTAATAGGTAAATCCAAATAAGACCAATACATCTAATGTCCAAAGATATAAATCCCTCTCTGAATGCACTAAGAAAGCTAACACCACTTAAGTAGTGAGAGAATATATGGTAAATGAATAAGCTATTTGCAGTCTATTTGGAGCTTTTCAGCATTATCAGTCTATGTGCTTTGAATATGCTGAGGATAAACTACATAAAATGCAGTATATTCTAAACTAAAATGCCATTTTTTCAGATGCTCCAAGTGCAACAGCTTCTTTGTTATACAGATATTGTTAATAAGTGACCCTTATAAGTGTCCAGAGGGACCTGGACAGACTGGAGGACTGGGCGGTGAGAAACCTCATGAGGTTCAACAGGGGCAAGTGCAGGGTCCTGCACTTGGGGAGAAATAACCCTGGACACCAGTACAGGTTAGGGGTGGACCTGCTGGAGAGCAGCCCTGCAGAGAGGGACCTGGGTGTCATGGTGGACGACAAGATGACCATGAGGCAGCAGTGTGCCCTGGTGGCCAAGAAGGCCAACGGGATCCTGGGGTGCATTAAGAAGAGCTAGCAGGAAGAGTCTCCAGCAGGTCGAGGGAGGTGATCGTCCCCCTCTATTCAGCCCTGGTGAGGCCACATCTGGAGACTGTGTCCAGTTCTGGGCTCCCCAGGACAAGAGGGATGTGGAGCTGCTGGAGAGTCCAGCGCAGGGCTACCAGGATGATCAGGGGCCTGGAACATTTGCCATATGAGCAAAGGCTGAGAGAGCTGGGCCTGTTCAGCCTGGAGAAGAGGAGGCTGAGGGGGGACCTGATCAGCGTGTATAAATACCTCAAGGGAGGCAGTGAGGAGGAGGGGGGCGGCCTCTTTTCAGTGGTGGGCAGGGATAGGACTAGAGGAAATGGCTTCAAACTGAAGCATCGGAAGTTCCACAGGAACTTAAGGAAGCATTTCTTCACTGTGAGGGTGACAAAGCACTGGAACAGGCTGCCCAGAGAGGTTGTGGAGTCTGCTTCTTTGGAGAACTTTAAAACCCGCTTGGATGCAGCCCTGTGCCACGTGCTCTGGGTGACCCTGCGTGTGCAGGGGGGGTTGGACTCGATGGCCTCTGAGGTCCCTTCCAACCTTGGGCATTCTGTGATTCTATTCTATGATTATCAAAGTGCTGTCTCACTGATAAGGAGCAACAGGGCTTAGACAAAAAGGAGTCAGAGACTGTAAAAGCAAAAGCAATAATTACACAGCAAATACAAAACAATATTCTATGTAAAAACAGTGCTTTTCCTTCTATATACGTACAAGCTGCAAAGCAACCATTCTGTGGTGTCCAGTATTGTCTGGAATAGGACAATACCAAACAAATATGAAGAAAGCTTTTTTTTTTCCCCCTTATTTCATAAATGAATTTTTTAAACAGCATGGCAGTTCTACACTGCTTTGTTCAATGGCAAGTAAATCCTTTAAAAAGACTGGTTTCATGTATCTTGATGCCCTATAGTTGAGGTAGTTAACTAATTACACAAAAATAACCACTGATAGGTCAAAAGAAAATGGCCTCAAGTTGTGCCAGAGGAGGTTGAGGTTAGAATATTACGGAAAAAAATTCTGCTGGGAACAAGTGCTGAAGCACTGGACCAGGCTGCCCAGGGAGGGGGCGCAGTCCCGGTCCCTGGCAGTGTTCAAGGAACGCGTGGATGAGGCCCGTAGGGACAGGGCTTGGCAGGCCTGGTGGGGACAGTTTATGGTTGGACTTGGTGAACATAAAGGTCTTTTCCAAACATAAGGATCTGATGATTAGGTAGAACAAGAACACCTGTATTCAGTAAAAGGTCACAGTTAAGACTAATCATAGATCCCTTGACATACAGCTGTCAGCAAATTCAAATTAATACCACAGAAGAATAAAGTAACCTGGGACTGTACGATAAAGACTGCGGCTGTTACGGCCTCTCAGGAGCCTCCAAGTAACTTCCTCCATGAGTGGAAAAGGGCCCAATGCCATGTTAAAAATTCATTCTTTTGGTGTGAAGCTTCAGTGCTGCTGTTTATGTTCTTCAATACTGTGAATTGTGATTTTTTTTTTTAACATTTAATGAAAACCTTTGGAAATGGGCACAGCTATACTTCTTTTTGAGCAGTACAATCTGTCACTCTCATTACACATGTAGTGCATTTCCTTAAACTTGTATCTTGACTTTGACAAGCTATTCAGAGTCATTTTAGCAGCTGCTCTGTGTAGCTCACAGCTTATAAAACAGTACAGGGCAGTGAAGTCAGTACATAAACTATGCTGGTACTTAAGTTATATGACACATACTTGCAGCTTCCAATACATAAAAAACTATGTGTCATTTATATGCAATTGATGACCTGAAGTTTTAAGCTCTGATATTGTACTTCTACCTACTGGTCCTGAATTAGCTCTCATGCAAAGCAGCTGCCAGTCCACAGAGAGGCTTTCTGTCAGCAGCTGGGCACACATCTCCTCTGCAGATCCGTGCTGCCTTCCTCCTTGTGGTCCTGTCAGAATAACTATCTCCTAATACATTTATTACTGCAGACAAAGTTTAGCTGCAAAGTAGTCAGGTTTCTCATAATAACAACATAAACAGAAAGCAACACAAGAGCGAATAATTTACTTATGTATGTATGCACAGACGCTTCTCTATTAATCAGCACATTTGTTAGGGCAGCCATAATTATACAGTAGGCCACTAACTCAGCCCTGGATCCAAGTACACAGCCTTCCTCCACAGCAGATGCAATCTCCTGTTTCATCCTTTACCACAGCATCCCCTCCAGCACAGCACATTCTGCAGCAGCTCTTTGTAAAGAGCAGCGCTAGGAAAATAACACTTCTTGTTCTCAAAATTTAGTAGGGAATGTAAAGTTGTGGTTGCAAAGTAGCATTATGGGCAGACAAGGCACATGCTGGACAAGAAAGAATCATTATCCTTCAGGTAATTTTGCCTCATTTCCTTCTCTCACGTGGCCTGAAGTCTGCTACAATATTTGTGTTGTAACTCTAATTGGTCAGACTTGCTTTTTATATAAAACAGTATAAGTGATTATAGGTTCATCACTCAAAGATGATTACAGCTTTAGTCTCATATTTCTGAGCTACCAACAAGGTTTAAAAAAAAAAAAAAAAGAAGTTTTTGCCTCTTTCAAAATCCTGTTAATCATCACTGTATGTCTCCCTAAGGTATACATAACTACTTCATAAGACGATAATTGAAGTCCCTTGGTCCACACTTTGGGATTTGAGGAATAAAACGGAACATGAAAGTCACTACTGAAGTGAAGCTTGCAGAAAGGACAGTATAAAACAATTATTTCACAAAAATATAATTTTATAGATTTACCTTAAAAAACATCAACCAAAACCACCCATTGTATGAGGAAAACTGTCTGTTTACTCATCTAAAGCCAAATTCTCGATTCTTGTGGAAGTATCAATTCAGGCTACCGTGACGTGGTCAGTAACATAAGGTAGAAAGATGAGGGAAATTAACAGTATATAAATGTACATATTCATGGTGTGTCTGAGCTTGTATAGACAAACAGCAAAACAAGTTGATAGACACAAAAAAAGGAAGACTGAGCATGGAAAAACATAAAAGAAAGAACAAACCAATGTATTAACTTTGTTGCAGACACATTTACAATGTTTTTCCAGGTGACCCAACTACTATGCTCTGTGCGGTACACACAGGAAAACTAATGTTTAAAGGGAAGATGGAAGGCCACAAACTTTGAAAGACCTACAAAAGAAGCACAAATTAGTGCTCTACCTGCCAGTTTTCATTCCTCACAGTTAGCTAAAGCTTAAGGAAGACTAGTAATTTTCCTTCCAGGGAGGAATGTGGAGCCTTGGGGGCTTCCTCTCCTTTTCTCCCCTCATTTTCAAGTGAAAATAGCTCTGCTCAAAAGTAATGTTTTGTTTCATTCTTCCATACTGTAATGGTGCCAAAATGTTTGCCTTAAAGCTTTCTAAATACATTTTTGAACAAATGCATCTTTTTTTCCACATGAAATTAATGGTATAATGAATTCTAAGAATCACAGAATACATTTTTATCTAGTAAAGGAGAAGTACTCAACAAAAAAACTGTGTGTAAAAACAAAACCCTACAACCACAACAGCACACTATGTGTCACCCAAAAGAGACGGCCACCAGGTAAGAGACTTAAGTCTTACTCTCATGTACTGTATTAGACACTTGGCAGGCACAGTCTGTCCCTTAAAAGGCTTTCAAGAAGCACCATGAAGCACTTAGCCTCTGTAATAGCTTTTTAATTTGTGTCAATCTATACATGCCAGAAATAAATGCTTTCATACCACTCAAGACTTCTAAGCTACAAAACAGGCAGGTGGAAGCAAACATAGTTTAAAGGATTTTATTTAGCAAACGGCAACAAAAAGGTAAAAACTGAAGAGAGAAACTTACAACTCAAAAACCATATAAAGCATTCCATCTGAGCTGTACGTCTCCAATAACTCCACAATATGAGGATGCTTCAGCATGTGACAAATACTGGCTTCCCTCTTCAGATCTGTAGAAGACAAAGTAGCATATTAGTTGTATATTCAAGCTGTGGAGTACATTAAAAATAGAAATAAATAAGAAAAAAGAAGAATATAAAATGGTTAGAACACATATTTGGAAGGAGGCACACAACTAACATTTCTAAAATATTCCTTAATATACATAACACTGACAAGATAATAATTCTCCTTCAGCCCTCAGGTATGAATTAAATTAAATAACCTATATAAAGACACAAAAATTTATGACACAAAAGACACAAAAGCTTTCATGATTTGACCTGTTAGCAAAATGTCTTCTGGGTCATACCCTGAAGAGCTGTATGGTAACAGATTCCTTCAATGCATATATGTAGACCACATCAAGATTTTCATGCTAAATATCCCACATCCCTGAAAAATTATCGCTAAATACAAGAGATTCAGGATAGCACTCCGTTGCAGTCAGCACTGTTAACTCCAACACACACAGAAGCACAGAGGAGCTCAGGGAGCACTGCTGCGGGAGCACTTCCCAACATCTCCAACTCCCTGCACAAACAGCATCAACCACAGCAGGTTGCCTAAGGTTGTGCAGACTCCACAGTCTCGCTGTCAATCCACTCCAGTGTTTGATCACCATTTTAGCAAAAACAAACAAACAAAAACTCATAACAACAAAAAAAGTTAAGTTTTTTCTTTTTTTTTCAGTTGGAAGCCAGTAGCTGACGGTGTTGCCCAGCTCCAGCGTTGCCTACTATTGACCGATACTAGGTCCAGCATTGTTCAACTTATTAATCAGTGACACGGCTGAAGGGACAGGGCGCACCCTTGACAAGACGGCTGGTGATAAAAGCTGGAAGGAGCGGCTGAGAGGCTCAGAGGGTTGGGCTGCCATTCAGAGGGAGCCAGGCAGGATGGAGAGACAGGCAGAGAGGAACCTCATGAGGTTCAACAAGGACAAGTGCAGGGTCCTGCCCCTGGGGACAAATAACCCTGGGTAACAGTACAGATTAGGGGTTGACCTGCTGGAGAGCAGCTGTGTGGAGGAGGAACTGGGAATCCTGGCGGACTGCAGACTGTCCATGAGGCAGCAATGGGCCCTGGTGGGCATGAAAGCCAATAGCATTCTGAAGTGCACTGGGAAGAGCGTTGCCAGCAGGCCAAGGGAGGTGATCCTCACCCCTCCCTCCAGCCTGGTGAGGCTGCATCTGGGACGCTAGCTTCAGTTCTTGGCTCCCCTGTACAAGAGAGACAGGGAACTACTGGAAAGAGCCCAACAGAGGGTCACCAAGACCATCAGGGGAACGTAGCATGTCTCACAAGCAAAGGCTGAAAGCTGGGCCTGTATCGAGTCTGCAGAAGATCCCCCGCTCAGCCTTCTCTTATCAGTATGTATGAATAGCTGAAGGGAAGACGGATGGTGCCAGACTGTTTTCAGTGGTTCCCAGGGACAGGATGAGAGGCAATGAGCACAAATGGAAACACATGAAGATCTGTCTGAACATAAGGAAAAAACAATTCACTGTGAGGATGTGACAGAGCACTGGACAAGGCTGCCAAGAGAGGTTATCCTTGGAGATAATTCAAAAGCCATCTGGGCAGGGTCCTGGGTAAGGTGACCCTACTTGAGCAGAAGGGCTGGGCTAGATGATCTCCAGAGGTCCTTTCCAATCTCAGCCTGTCTGTGATTCTGTAATTTTTGAGATGACATTTATTCTAGGTGACCTGTTTTAGCTTGGATTCCTGTTCTAAAGAAGAGAATTTAAAAAAAAAAAAAAAAAGAAAAAAACAAACCAACAGTTGTGAATAAGGTAAGAGAAGAAGCTACTATCAAATCTCTCAAAGGTTACCAGGTTTTCATATTAATATCAAATGCTCTTTATTTCTGAGTACAAATCAATCCCATTTTCATAGAAAACACACACAAAATGCTGTGCTGAACTGATTTTTCCCCCTCATTTATTAAAAATATAGGAATATTTATCTGCATTACAAGCTCTTCACTAAACTTTTTTTAAAAAGGTTCACTCTAGAAAAAACAGCAGAATATAGACAGACAGCAGCCTCAATCACAATTTGCGAAAGGAAACGTCAGTCTACGTTCTGAAGCAGATGTCTTAGTTTTCTACTTTCCCTTCGTGTGACTTTCCGTTGTTCAAGAAGCACCTACATATCTGCTTAGGGGGAAAAAAAATCTGTTCCTCTGTTCAAGAACACTTAAGCATCCTCTTGTGCTACACAACAAAGAAAGCTAAAATGCAGTTTTTTTTTTATACAGGCAATACCAAATTTCTAATATAAATTAAGAGCATTCAGGACTTCAGGAAGCAACATGAATATTCTTTCATGTGAAAAAGCATTCAACAGTTTACAAAGATTTATACTACATTCTCAATTTGCTAGTCATTTTAAAAGTAAACTCAGAAATAAAATACAAAATTTGGAAATAATTGCATCTTAATCCAAGGAAATAATTTTTTTCAGGAACATAAAGGGCAGTTTTACTTCCTATAACTTTCATAACACACTTTTAATATGAACAAGTCCACGACAACTTCGCAATTCTAGCCTAGAAGCAAATTGAGCAGAGCAATTCTTTAAGGATCATTATGTAACATCATCTTAAGAAGTGCAAATAGAGCACTGAAAAGAAGCAAGTAGCTGCCTACTTTTCCTGATGCAGAAGAAATTTAACGAAATTAATGTAAAATTTGATCTTTACAGAGAGATGAATTTCTACTAAATAAGAGAACTGTGGTATGTTTTCACTATTCAAAATACTCCTTCACGCACAGGGACTACTCAATTCACATCACAAAACCCCTTTCCATCACACTGAGGCACTGATCCAGCACTCACTGGTTACTATTCCTAAGCAGCTGATGTGTGTTTGGACACTGACCCCCAAAATGGAGTCCTCAAAAGCATTAAGAAGGGTAATTGCTATAAATAACAGTGAGAAAATAGAGATTACTCCTTAACAGAAAACGTAAAACATAGGCACCACTTTAAAAATTCCCATGGGAGTTGACTATCTTATATCCTGAGCATACTGACCATTCTAGAAAACACTCAGATTTTCCTTTCAAAATCTGATATATGAGCTCTAGACGTCATATCAAATATACTGAACTATGTTCATGGTATCCTGCAGCATGGAAGCTCTCAAGCAGCCCAATTTATTGTACTGTTTTTACATCCTTAGAATCTTTTTACAATCTTAAAAGTGACATATGCAGAGACTGCAGGAGCTGCATCTTTTTTGGGGCAGGACATCAAGTTTCTTGGCTAGACAGAAGAGAGGAAAATGTCATTTTTGGACATACAGTATCCTGATTGTCCAAGTTTAGTCATCTAAAAAATTAATTCTCTATCCACACTTTGGGTACAACAGTATTTTGAAAAGCTGTATCTATCTGTATCACCAGCAAACTGTTTATAATGCTTCTATACATTTTATACAGTCTATGATTGTATATAGTTTAAATAGAAGTGGTAGTACTAAGTTTTAGAATGAAATAAATGCATCTTTTTTGTTTTCTCAGAGAAATCATCCCAACCTACCAACATACCAACCTACCAACATCTAGTAATTAAGAGTATTGTACTTCACTACCACTTGATTTCCACTCTCACCATGATTATGAACTGCAGACAGCAGTGTCATGGATCACGGGCCGGTTAACAGTAAGTTACTCACATTAGTGTTTTACTTTGGGGCAAGAGAGCACTTTTGAAGCACATCTTCCAGTCGCTGCCACTTACCACCATCCCTTGGTTCACATCATGGAAGAGGTGCTGAGCACAAGAACCGCAAGTCTTCCAGGTAAGATTAACCTGGAGGATGTGCTCCAAGAACATTCCTGACACCGTAGCTGTGAACAGACATTGGAGTGGCAAGACCAGACCGGTGCCAGTTCCAAGTATCCCTCCCAGAACACATACAATGCAGATGGTGGCTTCTCAGCACCATCTGTCTCACTCTCTAAATGCACCGTCACTCGTTGGCATTGACGGTGCCAGGCTGTGCCAGACACTCTGCTTCAGGAAGTCGGAGGAGCTCCCAGCTGGACACGCTGCTGCACCCCTCTGCCCCAGGACAACACTCAGCAAGAACACCCAACAAACTCCACATCCAGCCCAACGGCAAATCCCTGTTTTACCAATTGGCTTCATGCCTGAGGCCACAGGTCCAGAGAGGGAAACTTCTGTGGCAATGGGAGCTTAAGCACAGCATTTCCATCATCTCCAAATCTTCCCTTCTATAATCAATCTGTACCTTAACAAACATGCTTAAAGCAAGTATCAGAAACAAATGCATGTGGCCCTTGATAAAAAGCAGTCAGCAGAGTAATCAACAATTAAATCCACAACACGTGTGAGAGAGTTACCCCCAAAATCATTCTTTAAAAGTAAAAAAAAAAAAAAAAAAAAAAAAAAAAAGGAAAAAAAGGCAGAATGTGATTAACAACTAATACTTAGCAACAAGTTACCATTTCTGAGTCCCCATGCAGAAACCTTTTGGGCTCTCCCAACTGGAGACACTAAAGGAAGAAATCTGATTGCTGGCATCAGACATTTACAGGCAGTTTTCTGCATTCTGAGTAACTTCTAATCTATCTACTCATTTTTCAGCCTGTGTTTGGTTGTAACAATGACTTTTCATCAGGAGCTTGGTGTCTTGAACCTTTTCAAAGCAACTTTCATTCCCCAGCTTTTTCTTTTTTTTTTTTTTTTTTTTTTACACTTTTTATAAAGTATCCATCATAATAATAAAAAAATCTAAATGTCACCTTTCCCAAACTGAACAAACACACAAAAATGGTAGATAAGCCTTCTCTCAGTTTATCTCAACAGCAGGTCAGTGAAGTAGGGGAGACAGGGAAGCAGATGGCAAATGCGCATAAGCAAAATGAAGACTTCCTGAAATTCAAGTTCACAATCTGTACTGGAAAACGATGCTAGTGGCTCTCTGCTTCCTGCTGCAAAATAGCTGAATCATAAACTCAATACATTATTTTAAAGG